TGTTTCAGTACATTCCTGTGGGCTCAAATCATAGGATGTATTAGCACAATGCAGACCATAGAGGAGCATGTTTCATACTGTTGGAGGTATGAATATGTGGACATTTTATGGCAGAAGCAGGCTTTGTTTGATAAAGGTAGGCTTCCAGAAAAAATCCTCAACTTCCTGTTCCTGATGGATAAATCCAGCTATTTAGTGATAATTTAATTATTTCCTAGTTCTAGGCAGGATCTTAGGATATGGCAGAGGTTGTTTGTTAGGAATTATAATAACAAAAAATCATTTCATTTGTTTCATCGGTCAAAGTTTTACATAAGAACAAATTCATCCTTGAATGTCCAATATTTCAAACTAGGCTTGGATGTCCCAAAATTCTGGCAGTAACTTTTTGACATGAAATCCTTTGTCTTTGGAAAACTTGGATTGAATGATAAAATCCTGCTTTCACAGTTATAGCCCTCCTTGCATTTAAAATACTGTGGCAGCTGGGAGACTGATTAACCTTGTTAGCCTGCAACTGAAAGTGGAATGTGACCAAATCGTGCTGGTCCTTGTAATTGTGCAAGTATGGATTTTTAGTTAGTGAAAAATCTATATTCTTTCCATGAATTCTAAATATTATGAGAAATTTGTCAAGAATTCTGTGACTGGATTATGAGAAAACTGCAGAAGTTCTGTTCCAGAGGAATAACTGTCAGCAAAAACAAAAAGGAATTTTGTGATACCTTAAAGATTAACACATTTATTGTGGCATAAACTTTCATAAGCTAGGGAGAAGTGGATCATAACACTGAATTTAAATCAAACAACTAGAGATGTATTTTTTGTATGACATTCTATGTATATATTCAATATCTTACTTATCACATGGTTGTATGATACAGCTGTGTTCTTGTTTTGTATATATGTTGTAATAAACTCAATAATTTTTTTAAAGTAAAAAAAAAGTACACCTAAGAAGAAGGGACAGGGCAATAGCTTCATTTGGGAGGCAAAGGAGGAAGACTCTATCTTTGTACCCCAGGAAAACTCTGAAAATGATAAATCCAATTCTGTTGGATTAGAGATAAGAGTAAGCCATAATTAGCAATGTCAAACAAGTCTGTCACTGAAATGCAATGTCTCTCCATTTTGATACAGTTTGCCAGTCACATTAAATATATGTATTCTGTCTTAGCTGCTAAATATCTTAGGGAAAAAAAAACCAACAGTTTATATTTATTCTGTATGCTAAAAAGTACAGCTGTCAGAACCACATGTGGTCCTGCCTGAATTTTACAAACAAGATAGATAACATGAACCTAGTTGGCCAAGGTTGTCATGATTCTAATGATGACATATAAAGAAATATCTGGTTCTCTAATGGAGAGCAACATTTCTGATACTTTAATAAAGGTTTTGCACATCTTAAATTGCATCAAATATTTACTTGAAAGCAGGGTCTATCAGTTGTATTAGTATCATACCCTTATTCCATGGAGTTCAGAATGGTGTACATAGTCATCTCCTCTTTCAGTTGATCCTCCCAACAGTTATCTGAGGTAGGTTAGGCTGAGGAAAAGAGTGATTGGTTCAGTGAACTTCACAGCCAAGTGAAGATTTAAACCTGGGTTTCCTCAGTCCTAGTCTAACTAGCCACTGTCCTATATGAGCTCTCAGTTGCTAATAGTATCTTTCCCAAGGGACAGACTGGTTTTAGATTAGGCCACTATGATGTACTTGTCTTGGCTTGTCTCCTTAATAGACCTCAAGGCATCTTTTGATGCCATCAGTAGAAGTTGTGGTGAAAGCTTGTGGGTACTAAACTGCAAAGGCATCTTCTCCAGGTAGTTAACACTACTTCAGTGTTATGGTACTGTTACCCCTACCACCTTAGATTTAAGAAGCTGAATTGCTGCCTTCAGTTTCTTGGGGGAATTTAGCTCAGTGGCAGCAAGAGGTGGGGTATTAAGCAAGGATTGGTTACCTATATTTTACGGAGATCTTTCCCTTTAAACCCTTTTTGGATCCAAGAACCAGACCCAATACTAAGAGAGAATAATTTTATTGTAAAAAAATAACAGAAATTGGAAAGAAAAGGAGGTAGCAAACAACAGGATGGGATGGGGGTTTTGGGGGTGATACATTACTAATCTTGGAGAGCTGGCTAAGCCTGAGGTTCTGGGGAAAGGAGGTGTGTGATAATGATGACCAGCGTGCCACACACAAAGACCTGATATGTATTGGGGGGGGGGGAGCTTCTCTGGGCACCCAAGCTTAAATCACACTGGGCATGTAGTGGACTGGGTATATTTATACCCCAAAATGTATCCTGAGGGTATGATGACATAGATAAGCTAGTGTGACCATGATGTGATGGAATTCATGTTTCTGGACAAAACAAGTGTTTGGAGTTTCCCAAGTACACCACAAAAGGTGCGATGTTTCCTAATAGGTGTAAGAGTGAGGCTAGATGATGACTGTTCAGTTGAACCTGAAAGTTAATGTTCTTTGATAGCCTGGAATAAAGAAGGGGGAAATGCAGGTGCAAGACAAAGAACTGGAAGATTTCTGACAGGAATGAAGGGGAAAATACCATTGGATCCATAGTGTGAGGCGGGAAGTTGCTAACCAACATAATTCATTCATAGCGAAGTAGATGGGCTAGATGCTTCGTCCTGTCTGCTTCCTGGCAGACAATAGTCAGCGTCTTAGCCATTTAATTGTGAAACCTTAGGGCCGCAGGCAGTGATTATCCAGCCATATTTTACATAGGAGTAGAGAGATGGGGGGGGGGATATTTGGAGGAATGTGGCAAGCATGAGCCTCTGCCTCTTGACAAGACAATGTCTCCCAGTCTCCTTAGCAAGTCACCTCTCATGCCAAACCTGACTATTGGGGTGCGGTGCTGTTAGGAGGTTCAGAGGTTCTCGGAGTGTCTTTCTCCCGTGGAAAGACCACCCCTGTTGGAGGGCTGCTGCCACTGTTACAGTACTTGCTTAATGATTAGTCTTCTCACATTGGACATCTGCCCAGCTGTATTCCAGTGACTGTTTCACATGTCCAGTAACGACAGGTGTACAGGATAAGTCCCTCCTAATATTATTGTCTGGGTTTTTTTTCTTTAAACCTGTAAGTGGCATCATGAGGGTTACACTGAGAGCTGCAACCTTTGCCTTGGTACCAGCTAAAAGTCAAAATTTGCTGTCACCTGTGGGCTTGAATGCCGTTTGGTTTGCTGTGCATCTGTTCAATTATGCTTTTTAAGAAGGTGTACTCTGTGTGGGTTGTGTACTATTTTTGTATGTTTATGGCAATATATTGTTTTACTATGTTTGGGAGGTTGTTACCACATTGTAACTTTGTTACAGCTGAAACTAATAAGCTATATCTTTTTAAAAAAAATAAAATTCTGAATGAACATCCCCCTTCCCATTTCCTTGGAGGGTACTCGTCTTCCATCTTTATCAACCATGTGCCACACAATTCAACCACTTGTGCTTATTTGTCCCTGAACAAAATCAGCCATTCCAGCAAATTGAACAAAGTGTCTATTATTAGTGCTCAGTGAAGTGAGCCCCTGGCCTCTTGAGGTCAGAAATGATTAAAGAAGGGCTTTCCCCTTTGCCCCTCCTCCCTTACTTATTCCATATGGTGTTGATTATCTCGTGGTCCAGGTCTTGAGGAAGGGGTGTGCCCAAGCTGACAGTGCTAATTTTATCCAAAGGTACTACTAGCGACATATACATGCTGTGCTATGTACTAGACCTTAGCATTTGCTATATTAGAGGCCAATTGCTGTCCATTGCTAGCAAGTATCTCCGGGGATGCAGAGAGAATGGTTAACCAAACTTCGTGCTTTAGGTGAGAGAGAACTTGTTTGTCACTCTCCCTTGTTATTTGGTTGTACTTGTCTTCCACAGAACTGCCTCAGCTTGCTTGGTTTTTCCGATGCTTTGCATTGTGTCACAACTTTACAATACCACCTTAAAGAAGGTAGTGTCTGTTCAGTGGGTCTGTGGAGAATGCCATGGGAGTGAGGCCTCCTGTAAAGGCCTCGATCTGGTAGAACATGAAAACATCTAGACTTTGCTTAGAGGGGAATTGAATGCACAGACAGTACAGATGATCACTAGTGATATGTTAGTTTAGTATAGTGTGCATGTAACTGCTTGGTTGACCAGTCTGATCTCATACCTTGGGGTTGCTCAGTTGTCCGTATTATGGTGCCATGTAGCAAGAAAGAGCTTTTCTATACACCTGGTCCAGATCTATGGTATAATGGTTATCTATATGGGTTCCTATATGGTTATCTATATGGAGCTGCGGTGGCTCAAGTGGTTAAGACGCTGAACTGCAGGCTGTGGAAGGTCAGTAGTTCAGCAGTTCGAGACCCGGGTGCCGCAAGACGGAGTGAGCTCCCGTCTCTAGTTCCAGCTCCTGCCAACCTAGCAGTTCGAAAGCAATAAATTGCAAGTAGATAAATAGGTACCACTTCGGTGGGAAGGTAACAGCGTTCCGTGCGCCTTGGTGTGTAGTCATGCCGGCCACATGACCACGGAAAGGTCTTCGGACAGCGCTGGCTCTTTGGCTTTGAAACGGAGATGAGCACCGCAACCCTAGAGTCGGATTCGACTGGCTTTCGAGCAAGGGAACCTTTACCTTTACCTATATGGGTTCCAAATATTGTCCTCCTATGTGGCGAGGAGAACATTGTCATTCAGGTTTCTGATCGGGTATGGAGGTGTGATAAAATTGCCAGCATTTGACTTACTAATACAACTAAGTAGCTTGTCAGGTAGCTACATGTAAATTATAATCGGTTACCTCTTGGTAAATAGTCCATCTGTATTCACTCAGCAGAACTGGGAGGGGGGAATTATGTGAGTTGACTCTGAACTTTTGATGGGCCATATTATGAAGCAAAGTGAACAGAAAAGTGCAGAATTCAGCAGTTTTTCTTGCCTTTGTAAACATGAATTTTTCCATTCTTCTGCTAACCTTTTAATCTCCTCCTTCAGGTACCCGAAGCAGTGCCAAGATGGACTCCCAGGCCAGTGATGACGAGGCAGCTAGTGAAGTGCTGAGTCACTACAGCAGTGCCAGTGAGACTGCTAGTGTAGCAGAGGAAGTGACAGGTGAGTGTGGATGATGTTTATAGCAAAAAATGTGGCCTTTTGTGGTTTGTCATCAAAAAGCTTACACTTGTTGAATAAGTTCCTCTAACTGAACTAGATAGTTAGATAAGTAGATAGATGGATAGAAAAGGAAAATCTGGCAGTTACAGAAGGAGAGTAGGCCTGTAAGGGAAGGGAGGCTCCAAATCTGTATGAAATAGTGGGTAGACAACTTTCATCACTGTCAGTAATCAGTAAATTGCCTCACCCTGTGTGAATCACAAAAGCTGCAAAACTGGGCCATTTACAAACAGAAGGAATCTGTACCCAACTGGAGCTATATGGAAAATTATATCTTTGTAAATGAACCATAAGAGAGAGGCCTGATGACAACTAAATATCCTTCAGAAGAGACAGAATGTTGACAGCAGATGAGTGCCAGTTGAAAGGGGGAAACACCATCCTGCTCAAGGCCCCGGGAGTTTAGAGCGTCTTGGGTGGGGTGATGTGGGGAGGTGTTGGGATTTCCAGATTGTCCCCTGATCAGTTCTCTCTGGGCACCTAGCTTGTTTCTCTGTTAACGGGACAGCTGCCATGTATTTAAACACAGAATTCATCTAATCCACTTCTACTTTCATCTGCTTTATTTCTTTTCTTGTTCTTTATGAATTCTATAAGCTGCAGCTAAAAATCTAGCACAATTTAGTGTAAGCTGGGGGTTAGAATCAGGTAGGAACGTCTTATTTATCTCTGGGTCCAGATAACTGAGAAATCTCCCTAATAAGGGTTGAATAAATGTTGCTTGAATTTCTTGGTAATAACTGCAGTGTAGCAAAGTATGCTCAATCATCTCCACTTCACCAGTGCCACAAGAGCAAACTTGCTCTGTCATTGGCACCTTTCCACTACCACAGATGGAAAAATATTGAATCTGGCCATAGAAAAAGCTCTACAATAAGATGGAATTTCTAGAAGTAATAAGAAAGTTGCTGGAATAGCCACATATCTCATTTTCTGAGGGGCCAAGAAGGTCGAAACCCTAGTGATATCACTCTGCCTTTTGATATCCAATATCCTTTGTGTGACTACAGCCCTTGCCTGATCTAAGGCCATTATCTGAAGGGACTCAAAAGAAAAACCACACAGATGTAACTTCTGGTGGACTGCCTTAAGCCAAGTTGAACAGAAACCATCCCTGAGAATTAGTGAAGTTATATCCGAAGAACTGTGTCTTATCCTAAACCAGGTATCAATAAAGGATGAGGGTTACCCTAGCCTCTAATTTTATCAGTCCAGTTTCCAGGCATAGATTTGCATTAGAGGCACTACTAGGAAATCAGAATAAAGCTCTTAGAAATTTTGATTGAGTTTTCTCTCAGGTGGCAAAGTTTGATGCAGGTGGGCCCAACATAGTCCCATACATGAGTTGTGGTACCATTTTGGACAGATATAATTTAAGGGCCACAGGTATAAAGTACCCCCCCCTTTTGTAGAATTGAATTTAATAATACTTCGAGCAGATTTCTTCTGATATTTGCAGCATATTCATGGTGGGCCTTCCATGCCCTAAATACTTAAAAGTTAACACCTGTTCCATGTATTTAAGCTTGTGGAGACTTCATTTAAACTTCTGCAGACTTGTGGTGATGGCATATCTAAGAACTGAAATAGTTTTCTGGGTGCTGTACTCCACTGTGTGACTGCAGCTACTCAGATTTCCGGAGCTCTTTGTTAATTAATATTCATTTTGAGTGAAACATGTGTGCTGTTTTACCTTTAAGCCCTGAAGTGGCTTAGAACCAAATTATTAAGAGCTGAAAATGATAAACAGTTCAAAACTTCATATTACTATGTCATTCCATCTAGTTGGATTCCATTAAACTGGCAGCTGCCAGGAATCAGGCAAAACTCAAAGATCACCCTGCAACAAGCCGCTTGAAATCAGAGGAGAAAGGCCTCTGTGCAGCCCTGCCAGTGCCATTCAGGTCCGGAGCCACTCTTGTGCTCCTTGCAGGAGGAGGCAGCCTCTGCAGAGGGTGGGTCTGGCTGGGCTGATTTGGTGCCCATGATTTTTGCTGCTTTCCCCAGGTGGTGAGGCAGTTGATGAGCAAGCACAGCAAGAGGAAATGGAAGATAAGCTGAAGGAGTGCATCGACAATGTGATGGACAAGAGGTGAGAGGCATCTGCCACAGCAAGGATAACTTCAAACACGCCAAAAGGTGGTTCGGGAAACTAAACTGTGGTTTAGTGTGATGTCTGAACTTGGGTTTGTGACCATCTGGCGAACCATGGTTAGTGTTAACAGTGGCTTGGTCTGCACATCTTGCCTGCCTTTGTGTTTGCCCCTTGTCCCTGTCATCAGATGAGCTTGAGGAATGCTTCTGGAGCCCGCTGCAACTGGCTGAGAAGAGCCTCCAGCTTCCTACCCTATAGTGGTGGCCATTATTCTCTCTCCCGTGGGCTGAGCAAATGGGTAACCTGAGCAGGGTTTGACCTCCCAGAGCTGTGGTAACACAAGCCTCAGTCTCTGATCCTGCTGAGCTTGTGCCTTTTTTGAAAGTAGCAGCAGCTCCATCTGCTTTCTGATGTTAGAGCTCCCCGAGCTGACAGCACTGGTTTCAGCCATTCTGAGCTCCAGAGCTGCGGGATAGCAGGCTGGAGACAAAAGGAGCAGAGCGGAAATCTTTGACCTGGTCTGCTTGTGAGCATATTTACCTAGTCAAAGAAGTTACTGGATTCTGTGCCTTTTTCTTGCCTGTGCCACACATTGTTGGTAGAAACTGTTCTGGGAGCAGTCTCATCGCTTGCAATATTCCTGTCTCCCCCCCTCAGCATCTTTCAATTGTTTTCTAGCTATGCCAGTAGCATCAAATTGTTAACCAAGGCAGGCTGGATGCAGCTGCATTGAAAATAACTTGGCAGAAGTGCCGGCAGTGCTTGGCACTGCCTCTCGCTACAAAATGCGGATTACGGCTGCCCTTCTGGCCATGCAACCCTGATAATTCACAATGAACCAATGAACTGGTTGGGGGGGGGGAGGTACTAAAGCTTCAGACCCCTTTTATGCCTGTCTCTTTAAAACAAGCAGGAAGAGGAAGCTTGATTTAGGAATACTGATCAGGTGTGAAAAGGGTTCATTCAGTCCTGTAGATTGGCCTCTTGTTCTTTAGTCAGCCACGTAGCTTCATGGTGTGAGTTCAGAAATCAGACACATTATGAAATTAGCAGGTGTGTGCTTATATTCGACAAGTGCTTGTGGTGTACCATGTAGTGTGTGAACTTGCTACATATTGTCTCTGACCCCATATATATCATATGTCTGTGCTGCTGAGAAATGCAAGTTGATCCTGGATCCTTGGGTGTGTGTCCAACCTGGTGGAATTCTGTGCCGAAGAACATCGGGGCCCTGCAGGACCTGTTATAATTCCACAGGGCCTGCAAGGCAGAGATGCTCTGCCAGGCATTTGACTGAGGACAGCGACGGCTCCATCTGTCTGGCCCTCCCACCCCCTGCTCCCCCGTGAGGCCAGTGGCTCCATCAGGAAAATTTTAACGCCATTGTAAGATACTGTCATGTTTTAATCTGCTTTAATTTGCTTAATGGTGTTTATTTGTTATCCTGTTGTATACTGCCCTGAGCCTGGTTTTTCTGGGGGGAGAGTGGTTTAACATCAAAACAACAACAACAACAATAACAACAACAACAACAATAATAATAATAACAACAACAACGCATTGGTTGGCCCTGACAAGCCCAATCTCCTCAGATCTCAGAAGCTAAGCAGGGCCGACTCTGACAAGTACTTGGAAGGGAGACCTCCAAGGAATACCAGAGGTGGGACACGGGCAGACTAATCAAGTCACCACTCTGAAAAATGTCCAAGCCCATGGTAGGGATCACCAGAAGTCAACCATGACTTCCAGGCAAGCACACAAACACACACACACACACTATATAGACTCTTTCGCTGAAGCGGTGGATGTCCAAGCGACACCGGCCTTCTCTGCTCAGCTTGTCAATCTGCTCAGTTCGCCTCACCTACCTTAGGGCACTGCCTGTACCAAGTTGGCATCAGTGTTGGCTGACTTTGGTCTCTTCAGAGAATGTGCCCTCCCTGACGTTATTGCAGCAGGCACAATAGTTGTAATTGTTATGCTGCCATCAGAAATGTTTTTAATGGAATTGTTGAGGCTTTTACGAATTATTATTTATTGTCAAATTGTTATTTATTGTCTTATCAATGTTGTAAGCTGCCCTGAGCCCACTGGTAGGGCGGGATATAGAAGTTGAATTTTTATATGTGTGTGTGTGTGTGTGTGTGTGTGTGTGTGCACGTGCATTGGTTGTCCATAATAGCATATAATATGGTGTACCTGCTGGTTTTATAATGTGAGGAGCATTTCTGAGCTAGAATCTAGGACCAGTCATATGATTTGCATTTTGCTTGCAGTTCTTAAAAAAGACCCTTCTGGGGCCCCTGCTTGCTGACAGCGGCTTGGTGGAGGTTGAACAAGGCCTGTAATCATTGATGGGAAAGGCTCCAGAGCCTGCAAAACTCTTTGACCTACTTCATGTCTACTCTGACTTGCTTCTGTAAATCTTTGCTGCTCATGTTCTACAGTTTTCTTTCAATCCCTTCTATCTACAATCCCAGTAAAATCCTAAATTTTTGCAAGGAAGGTGCAGACCTAAATAATTTGCATAATTTGTTTGGAGTGCGTTGTGTTTCTTTGCTGTAAATCTTGGGTTTTGAGGGGACATCTATGCAGGGTCCCAGACTGGCACTAGTTTTGACTCCCTCTCTCCTTGAACACTCTTCCAGTGCCAAGACACGGCAGGTGGCTCTAGAGAGCCTGAGGCTCGCATTCTCTTCCAAGACACTCTTTGACTTCCTCTTAGAACGTAGGCTCACCCTGACAGACTCCTTGGAGAAGTGCCTGAAAAAAGGTTGGTCCGCAATAGTGTTCTGTTTGTATAAGTATGATACGTAGGGCACAACCTGAAGTGTTTTTAAATTTCACTTATTTCAGTTTGAGAATTGGAACATCATATATTTCCCCCATTGAAGTGCATCGGGCTCGAAAGTACTTTATGTGGATTGTGCCCTTAGTGGTCTTTTCCAGCAGCCATTACAACAGCCTTTGGAAGGGAGGCCAGTATGGTATCCCCCATATTGCAACAAGGAGCTGATGGTGATAGAGATTTGCCCAAGGTTGCTCAGTAAATTTCGAATCAGGAACTTCTTGGCTCAACAGCTACTAAACTGGCATTACACCTTAGCTTACCTGGGGCATCAGCTGCATTTTCTGTTTCTGTGGGGGATGTAGTTACTGTAGAAGTTTCAGACTGATAGATATGGTGGCCTGGCTCCTGTGAACTGAGGTGATAAGTAAATGGTGTCTTGGCATTCTCTGAGGAAGGGGGGCTGAAGGAGAGGACTTCAGAACAATGAGAGAACTTGGGGAACAAAGTGTGCAATCCTAAATACCTTTTTCTGGGATTAACCCCCATTGACTACTATGGGACTTAGTGATGTGTTCAGGGTTACTCTGTAAAGGAGGAATTTTGGGAAATGCAGACTTTACGGCTATTCTTCCATCCTTACTGGACTGTCAGGGTTCTGTGACATCTCCACAGTGTGTGGTGTGTTTTACAGTGCTGGTTTTTAGGTGCTAATGCAACCCTACATGATAGGGCTATACAAAAAAAAATATTGGTATTTTCTGATATTTCCAAATCCCAATACCAGTATGGTTTTTAGATTCTTAAAGATTTGGGATTCCTGAATTTTTTTCAAGTCCATTATACCCTATGGGGACCTTAATAGTCTCCATATGGTATAATGGAGAATCGATCTGGGGGTATCTGGGGGGGCTGTTAACTTTGAAGGCATTTAAAGAGACTGCAATCCCTTTAAATGCCCTTTAACTTTTGACTGGTGGCCACGAAAAGTCCTGAATATTTTTTAAAGATTTTCGGGTCTCGGCCATTTCGGATAGCCAAAAAATGACCAAACAATATCCGGCTGAAAAAATATCCAGAAAACAACTATAAGGTATTTTTTTAAAAAAATTCGCCTCAGGTTTAGCCAAATGCATACCCCTACTACATAAGCAGACACACATTGCTTAGTGGTACTCTTCATATTGCCATTGAAATTCCCTCTCTAGAGTGTTAAGTGAACTCTTCTCTTAAAAATCACCTTGAAGTACTGTGAGAAATTTTAACGTTGTAAGAGAGAGTACCCCTCTTAAGCCTTGTGCTCTGTCTCTCTACCATTATAAATGCTGTGGTAGTGCTGTGTTGCTTACCTATGCCTAGCCCCATTAGCTGTCCAGTTTTTTGCTACAAGTTGTGCTATGTCTTTTCCTCCATTCAGGGAAGGGGGAGGAACAGTCCCTTGCTGCTACTGTTCTTACGCTACTGTGCCTTCAGATGGGCTCAGGGCCTGAGGGGGAGGAGGTGTTCCGCAGCCTGAAGCCCCTTCTCATCTGCATCCTGACAGACTTCACGGCCAGCCCAGTTGCTCGGCAAAGTGTGAGTAACTTCTTTCTCTTCTGCCTCGAAGCGACTGTTGCTGCACGAGGGAACGTTTGCAGGAGAGCAATCTTACCTGGGTTTTTTAATGTTCAAAATAATTCTTGGAAATAGCTTTGTCATTACCTCTTTTTTTTTTCCCCTCACCTCCTCTAGTGTGCCACTGCTCTTGGGATGTGCTGCTATATTGCTGCAGCGGATGTGGAGGTAAAATATGCTACTGTTTTAATTGACAGCTTTTAGCCAATGAAGCTAGAAATAGTTCTTCTCATCTTTTACCCCTAGTGTACCCAAATATTTTATTTGGGCTGGGAGGCTGCTCATCAAAACAAATGGGTATTCGCATTTTACGGCTTTTTACTGATCAACAGGAGTTTGGTTATCGAAATTCAGTACTGTTTCTGAAAAGGGATTTGTTTTGCTTTCTAAAACTACTAGACAAACTTCCAGAATGGATTAGGGCAAAGGCTACACAAGGGTTTGTCTGACATATATATCTTTGTCTTCCGTTGTGGAAGTATATCATGGAGTTCCGTCATGGAGTTCCCAGGAAGTCTTCCACCTACACCTAGATCTGCTTAACTTCAGTAAGGCAGCTGCATCGTGTGCCCTTCCATCCATGCCCTCATGCCATAGAACAGGGTTGCCAACCTTTTTCAGCCTGTGGGCTCTTTTAGAAATCTGACACAAAATGGTGGGTGCAATCACACAATGGCTGCACAGAAGGCAAGGCCAACCACAAAAATTCAGGGAATGAGGTTATGGATTATCTCTTGAACATTTCAAGCAGAAGCTCTGTTTAATGGGGTGCCCTTTAAAATTAACATACTGTATTTTCTTGCATATATACAATATTAGTATACATATTGAGCTAGCTAAGAAACCATCATCTGGCAGGATGTGTCTTCACTTTGCAGACATCTAACACACTTATACAAAAGGGAAAAGGGGAAAAAAACGCTTCTTCTCCTGGCTGTCCCTTCACACGAGCCCTTCTCTCATGAGCCCAGCTGTTTTTAGCCTGCGCTGTTACTTGTAACAAGAACAGTTGGTGCTGAAGGGCAAGGAGAGCACCTTGCACAGGTGTACAGTGAGAGAGGTTCTCGACAGAGTTTGGTAGGAACATTTTTTTTCTAGAAAACTGGACCAAATTAGATGTAGTGATGTCAGTATCAACTTCACCGGAATTATGATGACTTTTCCAGTTCCAGTTAGTTCAATTAAGTATTTTAGCCATGCGGTCCGATCATATTTAGTCAGAAGTGAGTCCCACTGTGTCTTCAGAAGACCACTTTGCCATCTGCTCAAGTAAAGTACTTTACATAAAGCCACTTGTCTACATTGTACCGTGAACACCAACAACTGAAAGTGCCCCACCCATTTTCTAAACCCACTTGGCAGGCACCAGGAAAGGGGCTAGAGGTTTACCATGGTGACCATGGGCCCCACGTTGGGGGTCCCTGCTGTAGAGAAACAAGGCACGAGGCTCCACATTTGTGATGTCCTAAACAACTCTGGTGTGGTGGCTCAAGTGGTTAAGACGCTGAACTGCAGGCTGCGGAAGGTCGGTAGTTCAGCAGTTCGAGACCCGAGTGTGCCGCATGACGGAGTGAGCTCCCATCTCTAGTTCCAGCTCCTGCCAACCTAGCAGTTCGAAAGCAAGAAATTGTAAGTAGATAAATAGGTACCACTTCAGTGGGAAGGTAACAGCGTTCCGTGCGCCTTGGTGTTTAGTCATGCCGGCCACATGACCACGGAAACGTCTTCGGACAGCGCTGGCTCTTCGGCTTTGAAGCGGAGTTGAGCACCACAACCCTAGAGTCGGACTCGACGGGCTTTCGAGCAAGGGAACCTTTACCTTTACCTTTAAACAACTCTGCGGGTTGAACTTCAGGAAGAACCTTCTTTATTTGTGTGTGTGTGTGTGATAAAATATTTTGAGAAAACACACATCCGTTTGTGGGAAAGTACTAGTTTTGTATTCTATCCTGTGAAGCATTTTGGAAAGCTGCCCATTTTGTCCTGAGAAAATATGGCCCCTGCAAGGCATTTTTAACTAAAATGTTCTTGGAGCTCAAGGAAGTGAACTGTGCCTTAAGGAATGTGGGAGGGTGGTAATTCTTAGGGTTCACAGTCAGCAGGATTGGGGAAGAAATTATTCCCTGCCATTTCATCACTGTTCTTCTCAGCAAGTTAACCAGTGACTCTAGTGGCATGTGACATCCTTAAGTTCTTCCTGTTGTTTCTGGGAGAACTGCTGACTTTTCCCTCTCTTTCAGGACCTGGCTTCCTGTCTTGCTTGCCTAGAGGGTATCTTTGGCACCTCCTGCCGTAAGGAGGCTGGATCAGAGTCCTCCCACCACAGCCCTCTGCTCCAGGTCTTGCATTGCAACGCGCTCCAGTCCTGGTCCCTGCTCCTCACCATCTGCCCAAGCACCCAGATCAAGAAGATCCTGGACAAGTGAGTGGTCAGTCTCGCCCAGGCAGCAGCATGCCTTCTTACCCGGGCACCTCTCCTGTTCTGCCCTGGCTGTAAGATTTAACACACTTCAAGCACGTGAGCTCACCAGGGAGTGGGAGGGAGAGGAGAGGGATGAATTCCCAAAGTAACTTCCTTGCAGAACAAGAGGGTGCTCCATTGCTTCGTGTCTCTTCCTCTGCAGTCACTTACCTACGTTGCCTCTGATGTTGTCCAGTGATAACGTCAACCTTCGGATTGTGGCAGGTGAAACGATTGCGCTACTCTTTGAGCTGGCCCGAGACATAGAGGTATGTTGAATCCCCTTTCTGTTTCAGGTGCAAATAGACAGACTCCTGTTCTCTTGTATTATGAACCATCGGCTGTTGTCAGTAGGCAAGAACGAGCACAGGCAGAAATGATAGCTCCGGTCCACTTGCATCCTTTCTTCTCTACTTAACTTCAGTTGTTTTAGTCTGACTTGGCTTAGTTTGTAGGCACGCGGTCCTTGAGTCTCAGAAGGCTCAGCAAAGAGTAGAGCCCCCCCTCCCCACTCCTAAATGTGAACTGGTGCTTCTGCACTGCATAGAGGCTTTACAAGAAGTGGAATGGTATATTTTTGACCATAGTGAATTGAAAACCATCAAGCGAGTGAGGATTTTTTGTTGTTGGAAATACCTGTAGCCTCCTCTAGCTTGGCGCTGGGTCAAAGGGAGTCTACTGTTTCTTAGTCGCACTTGGTGAATGCAGACCTCATCTAAGGACCTGGATTGGAGATGCTGGGGTTCCACTGTGATCTTTCTAAAGGAAGCGTGGGATAAGAGACATAAGAAATAAAGCTTGGAAAGAGCTGCATTGCTTGTATGCTTTTGGTTTGGCCTCAGACTATGAGTTGGAGCGTCTAGTTGTCATCCCATCTCATTTTTGCCACAGGAGGATTTTTTCTACGACGAAACGGACCTGCTGTGCACAAAGCTAAAAGCCCTGGCCACCGACAGCAACAAGTACCGAGCCAAGACAGACCGGCGAAAGCAACGCTCCATCTTTCGGGATGTGCTGCATTACATCGAGGTGCCTTGCCTGGCTCTAGCCACTGTTGCATAGATCTGTAGAGAGCTCCATTTAGATTTCTCAAAATTGGACTCAAGTCCGCTTTGAGCCCTCCTGCTCCCTTGATCCCACATTTATGAAGGGCAGTAGGTGGTAGCTCATTGCTGAGCACTTGTTCATGTATTTTGTATCGGTTCTCCTACTCCGTGTGTCAGGCCTGCCGTGCGGAAGAGCCTGGCTGAAATCTGGAGACTGGGCTACTTGCATGAAGAACAGAGGGGAATCATGTTAGTGGAGGCATTCCCTTAGGTGCTGGTGCTGGCTGCCCTCGTGGAGCTTTTGGGGCAGTTTTTGCTGCTCTGCCCTTACCAGGAATTATAATCAAGAAGCTAGCTCTGAAACATCTGTTGCCTTAAAAACCAAGTCTAGCGTACCACCTAGTGGTGCAGAATGCTAAAAGAGCTAGAACTTCTGGCTGCCAGACAATCTTAGGATCTCCTGGATATACTACACACACTGCCATAGGATAATTAATTATTTTAATTAATCCATTAATAATCAAGAAGCAGGTCGAAGCCTGCGTATCCCAAGTCCCTTTGTGGCTGACTCCTTGGCAGAACAGTTTGCCTAGGTATTTGTGTGGAATTGGCTTATCCTGCAGTGCAGTTTGAGAGTCCCTGGAGTGCCTAACCTTCCCAAGGATTTGGTGATACAACATTGTGCTGAGTTGTCTCGTCCTCCAAGTGGGAAGATTTGGTGGGGTTTGTCTTCTGTTCTTCTCCCTCAAGCCTCTGAATGCACTTTCCCCTTGTGATAGAATGGGGAGTGCCATGAGGAGACCATCAAGTTTGGACTGGAATGCATGTATGTGGACAGCTGGGCAAGGAGAAGAACGTACAATGCCTTCAAAGAAGCTCTTGGCTCTGGGGTCCGGCACCACCTGCAGGTAAGAGTAGGAGAGTTTCTGCTGAGAACTCTTATTTTATTTTGGTGGGGAAAGAGATGTTGTTGGGGGTTGGGAGACTCCAGAAGATGAGGCAGCCGATCTTCATGAAAATGCATTGCTACACAGGACACTTCAGGGCAGAACTCTGAGTCTTATCTTAATTGCATGCGGAATGTTTCTGGGAACTTGCTCCTCTCTTGGCCCCAAGATTCTAGCCAATGGCTGTTGTCTTCTTAGAACAATGAGCTGCTGCGTGAGATATTTGAACTGGGGCCCCCACTCGTGCTAGACGCTGCCACCATCAAAGCCAGCAAGATCTCACGCTTTGAGAAGGTACGTCAGTGATGCTGCTATGGTTTCTGTTTTGCCCTTGGCTTTCTAATTTTGCTTTGTTCAGGCTCTTGTTTTGCAGTGAACTCTGTGTGGTTTCCCTTCCAGAAGGGCTTGCATAGGTCCCTGGCAGTGCCCCTGGAAAATGTGTCTGTATGTTCTCTGAGCCCTCTAACATGAATGTGAGATGTGATGGCCAAGCCCGATAGGAACGAGATTCAAGTCTGTGGGCTGTGTGGAAATGGCCCGCAGAACCAGGCAAGGGATGGCTCTTTCCTTCCTGTCCATTGTTGAAACAGAATGCTTGACTAGAAGGACCTTTGGTCTGACACAGCAGGGGTGGGCAGTGGGCACAGCATTTTGTGGCTGTGCCCACCACACTGTGTCAGAATTCCCAAGGTGCACGCAGGCTCATAAAGGTTTGGGACATCTGCCCTAGAGAGTTGTTAAGCTTTTATATCAGAGTTTCCCTAATCTGATTTTTTTTTTTTTGTTTGTTTATCACTTCTTTTTTCCATCCCCACCAGCATCTGTACAACTCGGCTGCTTTCAAGGCCAGGACAAAAGCGAGGAGCCGTGTTCGAGATAAGCGAGCGGATGTCCTTTGAGGGGAAGCTGCTTCCTCCTTTTGCCTTCCGTCAAGCCAATGAACTACAGAACCAGACCACTGTGAACATGATGGGGTGGGGATGCCTGGGGCAAGGGGCTCATTGCCTCAACTCGTTCAGAACCAGGGTTGTGCCATGCCCACCTCTGTTCCCCCACCACATTCTGGGGGCGGGGGGCTTTTATATAAGTGTACAGAATACTATTTAAATGTCTTGGATGTTTGAATACTGGTGGAATGGCAGTGGGCAGGTGCCATTTTTATTTTTTTAACCAAAAATCTAAGCGAGGTTGGGTGGTGGGGAAAGACTTATTCCCCTCGCTGCTTTTTAAGCCAGTGATAATTTTAGCCTCCTTTCCCTGTCTCCATTGCTGAACGTATTGTACAGTTGCTGTTGGCAGCACAAATTGGAATCAGTGATCATTTTCCATCCTCCTGTCTTGTAGCTGTTAACTCTTCCACGGATTAGCTCAATGCAGGAGAGAAAGCAGGCTGTAGTGTTCCAGGTGGAGGCAATGAAGGAACTGGCTTGAGGACGGGTGCCTTGGGTTGTTCTCCCCCCCCCCGAGTTGAAGGTGTATTGCCTTGGGTTGGATGACATGTAAATTAGAATTCAATGTACTTGATTGAAGGCTGGGGCTGACAACACAGTGAAGGGGGGGGTATTCTCTGCACGTGCAGTTGCTGATTCTTTATTGCTTTTCCCTTTCTCTGATTTCCCTGCCCATCACTGTCTGCAGATGAGTTCTCTTGCTTTTTAGCACTCGGCTTTGCTTCTCATTTGCATATGGCTTTTTAAAGCATCCCTGTTGGCAGCCCTGCAAAAACTTCTCTTCCCCAAGATGGGGAAGCCATCCCGTGTGGCAGAGAAGTTCCCTGGAACTAACACAGAAGTTCCCTGCAACTGACACAAAATAAACGAGGGTTGAAAGCCCATGGTGCTTTGCCTGCTCTGTACCTCTCTTTCAGTGCCAAGAAAAGCTTTAATTCTGCTTGTATTTGCTTGCTGCATAATTCATTTTACCTCCGTTACCCAGTGGGAAAGGCAAGGAGCTATACAGGGGGACCTAATGCCCCATTTTTGGATACCTAGAACTACTACTAATTTGAGTTTTGAGAGATCGCCAGGCCCACACACTTTCAAGCCGGAACAACTTCAGCCCCGTCTTGCACATGTGGAACTTCTTAAGAAGCTGAAGTGGCCGGCTTCTCCTGAAAGTAGGATGGGGCAGGTAAGAGCCATGCTTCTCTTAACTGGGCTTCTTCAGCCATGGTGTGGGCATGGGGCTTACTTTGCATGGAGAAAGTCCCATGACTCACAGAGGTTTACAAATTTAATAGTGGTGTCCACATGGCAGGGCATGCAGCTAAGTGGGTACATGATGCCTTTCTTCACTGAACATTGCTTAGGCCAAGTTTTCTTGCACCAACCTGCACCAACAATGCATGTACCATCTGTACAACATCTTGAGTGATGTGCCTGTTCACAAAAGGAATTATTTGGCCAGCTTAGTGGTCAAGTGTAGGGATATTCTAGGTTCCCTGCAATGCCAAGGTGCAGTTGTGAGCCATGCCTTAGAGCACCAAAGCAGGGTAACTCCTTATTTGCAGATAGTAATTGTTCATATTCTATATTATGCATCATCTAGGATCTAATTGCAGCTATCCCTTTATTATGCTTTAAAGTCTGTCTAGGCTTTGAGAATGAAGGAAAAGGCGTGGAAGCCTAAGATATTTTTCTGCTGAACAATGCAAAAATCAGGAGGAGTTTTAGGATCAAATGAGACATGATGATCCAAGTGTACTTATTCATCTGTCCTGTGTTTACAGGGAAGGGTCATAGTGTTTGGAGGATTGGAGCAGAGCCTCCATTGCTTTAAACAGCTTTGGTCCATCCCCAGTATCAGCTGGGGGAAGAAATCCTTAAAGTGATGGGTTCCCCCCTCCCATCCAATATACTCCAGTTTTGATTAAAATACACTACTCAGCCCTCTCTTCACACATGTAGAGGAAGACACATGGATTCTCCTATTCTCCTGCCACATCTGCTTTGAACCTTGAAAGTTAATCACTGGGATTTGTGTACTGTATGTATACCTTTCTGATCATCCACATATTCTCTGTTACGCTGCAGTATTACCCCCCCCCCCATCAGCCTTCACCACCTCTGGTTGGCGAAAAATAAATAAATCTGTGGAAATGACAACATTTGCAGTTGGCACAAATTGAAAATAGGGTGTGCGTGTGTGTCTAATTGGGTAATGGTTCAACAGAGTCAAGATTTTCTAATTGCAAAGTGTTTTTAATGTTGGTAACTATGGTTCCTCCTTTTAATATTATGATGCCCCCTCAAGTGCTTCTTTGTCCAGGTCTTCTGAGGAAGTGAGTAGCATGCTGTAGTAAAAAAGTAGCTGTTCTGGCTTTAATTGTCACTTTAAGTGTCATTTATCAGACCTCTGGCCAAAGGTGACCTACAAGTAAGATCAAGATGGGTATATAGTAGAACAAACTGGAGTGACTAAGGTGCTAGCAGTATTCTTAAAATATGTTGTGTGAGATTTTTTAAAAATGAGTTGGAGGAACACTGCTCATGAGAAACACCATTCCCATTAAGTCTCAGTACCATTTCTTCCCGTCTGTTCTGTCTTCTTCAGACAGCCTCAGGTCTGTAGCCACTGATGCCTGGAGGATATGGAACTCTTCAGGGATTCTGGAGAACTCTCCTTTTCCAGCTCATGTCAAGTCAGTGTCTAAAATATGTCAAGCAGTGAGTTGTTCTTCCCTCCTCTGTAGGACTGGAACCAAGCTTCCCAAGGGGAAGGCAGGGGTGATGGGAATTAACTCAGGTTTGAGCTCCGGGCTCACTGGCATTTAGCTGACTCCATAGCTGTAAGCTCATGGCCCTCATTTGCCGGATGGTCGCCTCTTGAGACTCCAACCATCGGGCAAGTACACGGAGTGACTCACTCTGTAATACTGTAGGGGAGAGGAGAAGAAACCTCATGATTAGTACTCTGCCTTGGTTAGACAGCCTCTGACCTGCACCTCTTCCTTTTAATTAGCAGATTTCACTTGGCTGTATGCCAGAGGCTTGAACTTTTGCGTTTCAGGCAATAGAATTTATGGAGAGGTGAGTTGCTGCTCACACAACCCTTATCGGAGCCCTTCAGTTGTAGTATCAAGCAACCTAAAGTTGCCTGTGTAAATAGTAGCCTCCCAGTCTCATGGGTCCATTCCTGATGGGCTAGTGCTTGTATAGTACGGTATGAGTTAGCTAGTTAACCATTATTTCAGCACTCAGTATGTAACATTGCAATTTACTGGTTGCACAAAGCAACAGGCCCATTAGGACACATATAATCTGTTACTGAAATGGTAATGAATCTCTCCAGGCCTGGGGACTTAATTGACATACACGTGTGACAGGAAGGAACATGAATCACAGTAACGTAAGAGAAAAGAGCCTTGTCGTTGCTAAAAAGGAATCCTCTCCACCGTTAAGTGACCTCATCTTGCTGTCCCATTTCTCCTTTCAGTGGGCATGCAAAGAAGGGCAGAAAGTGCAGCACTCGTGCTCTCTCTTTATGGGCACTACTAGCAAATGGTTCTGAGAAACAGAAAAGAAATGGTGGAGCTACGGGGTTTGCACTCCAGTGGGTGGAAGACCGCTGTGCTAGTAGGAGTAAAACAAAACACACATACAATGGGGCCAGGTACAGAAAGGGGAGATTTTTCTGCAATGTTGGGAGAATGCCTAAGTATGGGGCGGGGTGGGGTGGATTTAAGTTTTTAAAAAAGGTTATTTAAAATCTCCCCTCCTCGATCCTCACAGAAGTGATGCCTGTGCCTCCACAAACATCACAACAGAGCCTTGCCATACAAGATCTCACTTAAAAACATGGTGCAATCTCTGTGTGGGCAGCCAGTCTCACAGGGATATAACCAGCAGAGGAAAGCCAGTATGGGAGGTCCTGGGCGGGAGGGCAGGCCAAAGCATTAGCCTCCTTCCTGCTCTGTAACTAAATAGGGCAGAGGGGGGCAGGGTGGGAAATAAGAGTTCCCCTCCACAGTAAGTCTTCCAGAGTCCCCATTTTTCACTTTCATCAAGGCACAAAAGCATGTCTGCTGGGACAGTCTCACCCAGGTGCTGTCTCAGAATCCCAACAGTGGGCAGTGTGAGCTTGCCTTCTGGGACTTCCCAGGTGGTATACTTAGGGCTGCCAAGTGGGGGCGGGTGGCGAGTAAACCCCCACTTTGGAGGCCCGATTTCCGCCGCCGTGGAATCGGGCCCCGGGGGGAACTCCGCTCCTCGAGGCGCAGCATGGCTGCGTCACCAGAGGTGACGCAACCACATCGATCACTATGGTTTTCCCTTCGACGATGGGGGCCACGCCCCCAACGTGATCGACGTCACGCATCACTTCCGGGACGTGCTGGCGGCGCGTCGGAGGAGAGCTCCCGGAGCCCAGCGACGCCCCCAGGCTGGCTGTGAAAGCACACCTGGTAGGACTGCCACAGCAACCCTGCTTTCAGAGCCCTCTGGATGTCTGGAAAGGGGAAAACAGGTTTTCAGATGGCAGCAAAGCCGGGGCTGCTCTCACCTTTGCAGCCATTCTGCAACACGATGGTTCCTCAGATTCCTGTCCCTGAAGCTTTCGCTTGCATAACTATTCAAGATTGCTCAGATGGCAAAGTCTTTAGGTTCCACAGAGCCCTCCTTCCTTCACTCACCCCTTTCCCTAGTGGTGGGCACTGAGCGGCTCCCAACACAAGAGTCTTTGTTATTAACCCCAGTCAAGAACAGCCCATGGGGCCCCAAACATACCACTCAGATAGACGGCCAGTGTGGCTAGAGCAAGGCTGGCCACTACGAGCACTCCGAGGAGAGCAAGGAAGCCTGTCGGGCAGCAGGTGGGGCCGAAACAGGGGCAGCAGGTGCAAGCAGGGATGAAGTGGACAGCCTGGACTGGTGGTAGAAAAGATGCATCTTCTTCATTAGGCAGACTGAAATGTTTGGAGAAAGTGCCATGAGGAGTCCGTGGGGTGTTAGGTGGGGACTGGCTGCTCCCTGAGGAAGAGAGGAGGGAGAACTGTTGAGTTGAGGTCAGAGCTGGGGGAGGGGACTAAAGAGGCAAAGTTCTTAGGGGCTCATGAAACTGCGCAAGTCGTGTGATCTGTGTCCGTAGTTTACAACATTTATATCCCATCTTTCTATCCTCACAAGGGTCAGCAAGGTGACTAACAAAACACAATATAGTAAAATCACATTTTAAAATAATTGAAAACAGCCAAAAATAAACAGCAATACCACATCATTAAACATTCAAACATAACATATATGATATTTAGATTGGGGATGGGTAGTGTGGAGGAGCCAGGTGGATTTTTTTTTTTTGGTCTGGAAGTTTTTAGCAGCCCTGGCTGAGGTGAAACAACCAGTGTTTTCTGTCCCCCCCACCACACTCTGGCCCGGCGTCACCACAGCCACAGGATATTTTCTCATAGTTACAAAGCGTTACTGGTAAAGCAAATGACCCTATGGGAATTCTTGAAGATGATTTGAGGATCCAGCTGGGATGGACTACCTACCTTCTGAGCCTTTGGCACGGTCGTGTCTGCTGGACACATAGTGCAGGTCGCTAATGGATTCCACTGCATGCAAGTTGATTTCTGCCATGTCATTGCTGCCAAGTTCAAAGGGAGTCCCTGTTGGAGGAGGGAAATAGCAGCATTCACCATGGTGTCTGCATGGAAATGCAGGGGGGTTGGAGATGAGATGCCACCTGGTTTCACTCAGTCATCTCTATGCGCTTTCACAGAAGTACTGTGCAAATCCCATCTCTCCTGGCTGTGTTCAGTGCTATATTTTTCTGCATCACTACAGCCCCCTTTTTGAAACCCAACTGTACATAAATTGAATGTCTGCCTCCCTCTCTGTTCCTCTTCCGAGCCTTCCAGTTGCTGTTTTGGAGCTGTTCTCTCAGGAGCAGTTCTCGAAAGAGCTCTCTCAGCCCCACCTACCTCACAGGGTATCTGTTGTGGGGAGGGGAAGGGAAAGGGGTTTGTAAACCACTCTGAGATTCCTTCAGATAGTGAAGGGCAGGGTATAAATCCAATCTCCCCTTCTCTAAGAGCATGATTTCCCCCCTGCACTCTGTCCTGTGGTCTCCTGCTATATGCTTAGCCTGCTGTTTCCTAACAAATACTAAGCCACATTCTTGTTGGTCCTTATCAGATTTTCTGGGACTGCAGGGTGGGTGGATGCCTAAGGAAAAATGTATCGGGACCTACTCTGGAGTTTTTAAAAAATGCATTTTGGAGTCAAGTAGCATCTAGCTCCTATTTTAGTGGGCTCCAACCTCTCATGCTACTCTAGTCTAGTCGGAGACTTGCAACCTCTAAGTAACCTTGAGGTGGTGAAGCGGGCAAAGAGTTTGGAATAGCAGACCTAGGAAATGTCCCATTAATCTCAGTGATCATGCTGTCTTAAAGGGCTCCTGATAATAGTCATTTCAGTCAAAAGAGATGAGGCACAGGATTTGCTCCAGGGCTCTGTTATGACTTAGAGCATTCTTTAGTTTTGTATCTTACAAAACAGAATTGGCCTCTACCATATCATAAAGCAGCTAAAGTAATGTTACCTTCCTCATTCTAGTCGAAGGCACAGCCTTCTTCACTAAGGACAGTGTCTTGGTTCTGAGAATGAGGGAAATGAATGGACTTTGTGTGCTCTCCATTAGGGCCAGGGGCAAACGTAAGGCTGTTAAAATGATGATATTTTGATGAGGTGGTCAATATTGTATCAGGAGAGTGAGAACTGAAAAGTAGCTCTGCGGGTTCCACAGCTCTGGCCCAGCTGTATATGTTGTCAACTCCCTAGGAAGGGAGAGGAATTTCTATTAAAGCCATATTTATTTTCGATATTTACACTTTTCTTCCCATGGGGCACCAAAACGCTTGCAGCATCTGCTCCTGTACTGTATCCTTAAAACAACCCTGTGAGAGAAATCAAGCTGAGAGTGTGTGTGTGTGTGCGCGCGTGTGAGTGACATTCAGTGAACTTCCATAGTCTTCATATAACCATGAGTGCACTAGGCTGCCTGTGTATATGCTGTTAAGGCACATCACTGTTATTCAGATGTAGTTAAATCTGCACAAAAGTCAGGTTAATGGGGGAGGGGGGATAATTGCCTCCTCTGTTATTATCTCCACACCCATCTATGTCAGATCAGCTTCATTCTCTAGGTAAAGAGCAGGGATATGCTGCCCCATACCATGTGATCAGGCAATATGCATATTGCTCAGGGCAATGTAGAACAAAGACCGTGGAGGGAGCAATCATAGTGCAAGACAACTTCCAACCCGAGAATTGTAAAACAGTTGATAAGAAACCAGAGAACCCTGGAAATGAACACATTGTAATGCTGAATGTGCCTAATTGAAACAAATCTCCACAGTTGTAAGGTGAGAGCAATTTAGAGCATGTATTTTGGGTCAGCCAGGCAGAAGAGGGAAGGCCCTCCATAAAATGTTAGCTGGGGTAAGGGAGCCATACCACACCTCCGCCCAAAGAGCAGGCAGCAGTTCTTATCACTACCAATTGGCTGAGTTGGGCTGCAGTTTTGGCTGCTGCAAATGGCAGAAGACAAAATTGAGTCACCTAACTCTCTTCTTCCAGGCACTGGCTGGAGCAGGCCATATGAATGAGAACACCTAGCCTTCCATTCTACTAGCTAGCAGAGGGTGGGGGACACCAGGGAGCCCCCTGTTCCACTGATGTCCCAAGGGAGGTGGGTAGAAGCAGGCCAATGCCAGCTGTTGCTCTTCCTTTTTTTTTTCTGCTGAGTCATGACACTGCAGAATTGCTGCTGCTGCTGCTTCCTCTCTTTACCTGGCTCCCTCTGGGTGGCCGCAGCTGATCCTGGCTGCCATCATTGCCACACACAGGCAGGCTACCTGCTGCAAGCAGGGGAAGGAAGAGGAGAAGCCACAATGGAGTATGCATGGAGGGAGGGAGGTCCAGTCCTGTCTTTGTGGCTGCAGTGGGTGGGTCAGTGGGTTGTTGGCCCAAGAAGATGTGCAACAGTGCTTACCCCTGACAAGGTTGTTGGCAATGTGATCCCGCACCGACAGTAATTCTTCTCTTCCCCATATCATATGAGGTCAAGGTCCTCCAGAGATTCCTTGAGTGGGAAAGGCCTAGACAACACACCCAGTGTTTTTGACCCTGAGGCCATCTCTTATTACCAGTCCCCTGGGACAGCTGAAGCACCCTGGCTTTAATGCCTCAGATTCTGCCATGCAAGAGAATAGGCTAGTATTACCCTTCCCTTTCCCCATTTAAACTGTTTAGTTGCTGCCCAGTCACCCAGGGACAGAACCTTCAGTGCCTCCTTAGAGGGGGTGGAATCCTGAGTGGCACTGCTGCATCCCACATAAGCCCTCTTGCCTTAATAGAACCACAGTCCTTTTCTCATGGCCTAATTGCATAGATGACACCCAACACAGAGGCTCGTTTGTCAAACTGCAAAAGCTGCAAAACTGAGATCAGTGCTGTTTTAATGGCATTACTTGCCCTGGGACCTCTTATTATTTTCTGAATCTGATTTGCTTTTTTGCTGTCCCATCTTGATAACTGCTTTAATAGCAATGCAGCAGCAAAAATCTAACAAGTGAATTTCTTTCTTGCTTGCATAGAGATACAGAAATGGTAGAAGCTTCACTTGCTGGACTTCTGCTTGTCATGCTGCTGTTAAAGGAACAAGCATTCTACTGGGGGAGACACACACAAAAAGCGGGCAACCCTATCCCTTCAGTGGGAATCTTTTGCTAATTAAGTGCTACCAACTATATCATGGACCAACATCGCAGGCATTTGGGGATCATATTTTTCAAGGACACAAAGGACATAGACTTCATAGTTCCGTTTTAAGGACCAATCAGAAGGGAATTGCACAGGGTTGCATGAAAAACAGAAAAGCAACAGAGGTAGTTCTCCTGTCACTGCATCACTAATGATTCTGGGTGAAGCCACATCTGAATTTATGCTTGCTGTGCATCTGTTAAAAGCACAGGCACAGCTACTTTGGAGTTTACTGAAGAGGCAAACTTATCTGGGCTGTACCACTTCAGATTAAAGATGGAGGCTCACATGACTGAATGCTCCCCCCTGCCCAGTCCTACACACAGAAAACCGAATGTGAGGGAGAAGGATTGGCTAGAAAAGTTCTTCTCTCTGACATCTGGTATTTATGTGTGATACACACACCCACTCTGAAGTGACACATTCCATATCTGCTGGCCACCTCAGGGAGAACTAGGCCTAGTAACTAACATCCACTGAATTGTGCAGAAATATTCTAGGATCCTGCAAATTCTCCTTTTCATGCACTTAATCCTCATCTGGGCTGCTAGAAGGATTTTTATTCTTACAAATTATCCATTTGCTTAAAAACAAACAAATTGTAATAGAAATATTTAGTTCATGTTGTTAAAATGCTTCTCTGAGCACTGTTGATGTAGCTGAGAGACCCATGGAAGGTTTGTGGGTGGCCTTGGGTCAGTAATTTTCACAGCCCTAACCTACCTTGGAGGGTTGCTTTGAGGATAAAATGAAACAGAGAATGTTGTAAGCGACTTTGGGTCCCCATTTCTGTGGAAGGTGGGGTTTAAACAAATTAAATAAATACGTATGGTTAGTGTGACTCTCCAAACATTAGCCACTTTATTAAATGTAGTTGGTGAGGAAATGTTAAACCAATTTCATGATTGGGGAGCGGTGGCACAGAGGATTTATCCTCTGGTTAGTAACATCTGAGCTGAACAGTACGGCTGTCAGTTCTAGCCCCGTGTTGGTGTGAGCTACCAGCCTTGTCCCTAACTCGCTGTCCACACAGCGGTTCGAAAACTTTGGCGCGTAGATAAAATGGGTACCACTCCTTAGAGAGGGTGGGCACACCAACCCCCCCGCCCCCCGTGGGGGAGGAGTTAGCCAGCGACCGGAATGCTCAGTTCGCAAGATTGAAAGCCTAAGAAAAAATCTCTTTGACTCCGAGAAGCCTGTAATGGGCCGTTCTGGCCAGGCGGTGGCAGTGCGGCGCTGCAAGACCTGGAGAAGCTGATGTCATCTAGCCAAGCCGAAGTGAATATGCCGACGGAACACGTCTGACCCGCAGCTGAACAAACCCTCGCTGACTGTGAATGTGTGTGATTTAAAAGATATATGTTGTCCTCCCTTACCCTCATAAATCATTGTTAGTCCTGCATGAATGAGTAACTGTAAATCGCTCAGAGCCAGTAAACTCTGCAGGATTGAGCAATTAATAAATTGAAAGATTATTATTATTATATTATTAGCTATGAAGTTGACTGATGTGCACATACAGACATCCTGGCTTAATCCTGGTACTGCCCTCACCATAATGTAGGCTGGAATATCAGCTAGGTCTCCGTGGGAGAAGCAGGGGAAAGAGCGAAAGCAATGAGCCCAGAATTTGAATGTCTGCCTGCAAACACAATCCCGGTTTCCCAAACTAACTACGGTTAAAATAAACCATGGTTTAGCATTCTGTCTGAGACAAGCTAATTATTCAGACATTTTAATCACAATGTGATGCTGCATAAGACAAACAGGTCAAGAAATATCACTGTTAACTCTGGCTCTGTTGCAGTTGTGAAGTTCAGGACACAATGTTAAACAGCACTCAGGACTTCTGTGAATCAGTCTTACGATTCTGCACCCTAACAGTTCTGTATTCACAACTGCTCCCCGTGCCTTGAAAATACCTTTCCTTGTGAAATATAACATTGTCATAAAAATAAAATAAAATGACTAGTTTTTTAGCCTTATGAGATACATATACTATAATATTAAGCTCTGTGGGTAGGACTGATGTCTCTTGTGCAGAAGCCTGCTGCCACATCTTCAACAGCACTGTCCGTGAGAACATTATCATCCCCATTTCTCCCCTACACATTTCATATGTGGTCACAGCCCAAGACATTTTGCAGCAAAGTTGTCTCCCATCCTGGGCTATAGCACTAGATAGCCCCACTCGTCCATCTTGCCTGATATGGGGCAAAACTGCAATCCTGCTTGCCACAGCAATATGGGGGGGGGGCGCAAATAGTCCAGGGAAGTGCTTAAATTAGGAACCTGGCTCTTGCAGCTAAATCAGACTCTGGTAACCATGAGACAGACACACCTGGCATGCTTTCGTGAGCTGGAGAGAAGTGGGCTTGACTCAGCCATAGTGGAGAGAGTCAACAACTGTGGTGTTAATTATATGTCATTCAGACAGATTTACACCTTGTTCACCTCCCCGTCTCTTTCCCGTGCCAGGATCACTCTCCCCTAGACCAAGCTTCTCATTCTTTTGAACCTGCCCAACTTCAGCAAGTGTTTCCTAAGCTCTGCTTTGGTCTGTGCCAACTAGAGCTGCCAGCGTGTTCACCTGAGCCAGGATTCCCTGCCCCTCATTCCACCCATCCCATATTGAGCAAAAACACCTTAGGCTCCCTCCCCATCAAGCTATCATGGTCATAGCTAGCTATGCCGATAATCCTGCCACATGATTACTGTCTGAGGTGCCTGAGATAGCAAGGAAGCGCCTACCACTAGCCTGTACTCAAGATCTCGAGGAGGTGCAATGGCTCTACTAGCAGCGCTCCCTTTCTCCACCATGAGCAACTGTTTTACATCTCCCCTTAATATACCTTTGCAATCCTGTCCCCACACAGATGGTACCTTTTCCAGTCTCGCTGGGCATCACTAGAGCCAGGCTCCTCTTCCAGTGGCTTTTCCAGAGTCAACACAAGAAAAAAAATGGATGTGGAATATGCTATGACGGGCCTCTACAGACACACGCACGCGCACACACACACCCGGGGAACTGATGGGAAGGTAAACATAGGCTTCTGCCTGCCACATCAGCTGCTTGGGCTTAAAATAGGAGTGAGAGGAGTCCAATGGAGAGCTATAAATAGAGACCAAATAGAAGAGCCAAAGGAGAGACTTCATGAGCTATATTAGGTGAATGCTGGAACACAGGCGATAATGAAGAATGGATATCTTGTGGGACAGAGAGATACGTGGAGGGAGGCAACCAGAGGAATGGTGAGATGGGAATGGAGGCGCCAATAAGGGGGAGAGGGCAGAGTCCACTAGGCTTACCTAGGCAATTGCCTGTCTGTCCCAGAGCTGGAGCGGTGCCAAGCCAGCCCTCCTGCAGCAGGCAGGGATTGGGAGGCATGACACAGCAGCAACCACAGCTGCTGTGTCATGGCAAGGCAACCAGGAGGTGAATAGGGCCTTCCTCCTTTGCCAGATCCAGGATTGGTGATGGTAAGCCACGGCCCTGGCCCCTGGGAGGCAGCTTCCCTGCAATGCATGGGGGAGGGAGTCATTTGTCTAGGAGGCTGAAGAAGACTCTTTGGCTAGCCCTGGGAGTGGGAGAGTGTGGTATCCTTTAGGGCAGGGGTGGTCAAACTGCAGCTTGGGAGCCACATGCGGCTCTTTCACACATATTGTGCAACTTCCAACAGGGCGGCTGGGGAAGCAAAGGGGAGGCATGCCTCCCAGATCGGTCTTCCCTTCCCCAGCCAGTGTTCCCTCCCTGGATAGGCTTGAGGTGGGGGGGAGCAGAGAAAGAAAGCAACTTTAAATGTGTTCTCAAAGCTTCTGGCTGGCTTGGAGAAGTCATTTGTCTCTTTAAATCCTTTCTCTAAGCCAAGCCAGCCGGCCTTGGAGGACACATCTAAACTTAAAGCTGCTTTCTTTCCACCTCTCCCTCCCTCCCCCATCTATTTGCTTTCTTTCCACTTTCTCTCTCTCTTTCTCCCATCCCTCCCCATCTAAAGTTAGATGTGTCCCCCAAGCCCCGCCACACCAGCCAGCTCGCTTCGCTCCCCCGCCCCAGAGGCCCCACCCACCAACTTGGAGAAGGCATTTGTCTCTCTAAATCCCTTCAGCAAGCTGGCTGGCATGGGGAGGGGTGGGGGTTGGAGAACACATTTATAGCTAAAGTTGCTTTCTTTCTACCTCTCCCTCCCTTCCTCCTTTCCTCCCCATTTATTTGCTTTCTTTCTACCTCTCTCTTTTTTCCCTTCCTTCCTGCGCCATCTAGTTGCTTTCTTTCCACCTCTTTCTCCCTTCCTTTCTCTTTCTATTTGCTTTCTTTGTTTTTCTCTCTCTCTTTCTGTCTTTCCCCCCTTCCTCCCTCCCTCCATCCTCATCTATTTGCCTGCCTACCTACCTTCCTTCTTCCTCCCTCCTCATCTCTTTGCTTTCTTTGTTTCTCTCTCTCTCTTTTTCTCTTTCCACCTCTTTCATTCTTTCTTTCCACCTCTCTCTCTCTCTCAGACAAATAAATATAGTTAGCAAACAAATAAATATAATTGGACAAATAAATATCATTATCAATATTTGTTTTTACCCCTTTTGTTTTTTATTTTTGGCAGTCTCAATAAAAATCATATTTGGATATTTTTCAATAAAATGTTTGTGTAATATTTGTTCATATCTTGTGGCTCTCAAACATCTGATGTTTATTCTATGTGACTCTTAAGCTAAGCAAGTTTGGCCAACCCTGCTTGGGGTCCAGCAACAGCAGATGCTGAGGTCCTTTTCCCAATACATGATAGCTTTTGAACAGAAGGGTTTTTTTTAATGCTACACTTCAGTGAGCATTTGTGGTAGAACTGAACTATCCGTTGCCATGTAATACCAGATCACTGTCCAGCTGCAGCATTTTGCACTAGGGAAGTTTCCAAATACTCTTCAATGGCAGCCCCAGGTAGTCAAATCCAATTCTATCTACCCAGTAACTCCACTGAGTCCCCACCAGAATAATTTCTGATTTGTCTCAGCTGAGCTTGAAGTTATTTCTCTTCATCCAGTCCATACTTGTTTCAGAATACTAATCACATTTTTGTCTTCCCAAAGAAGACAAATGTCAAAACAAACTTAACCTACAAATATATCCCAAACCCCAGTGCTATGTAGTTTGAAGTCTGTTATCGAATGATTTTTTTTTATTTAGCTGATATCTAATAATCTAATATTTGTGAGTTGGCCTCTGCTATTGAATCATGGATGATATGCTCCAGGAAATGGAGAGAAGGAGTGCAACCCTGTTAATTCTTCTGGTCCTCTTGTTGGCTTTTGATACCATTTATCATGGTATTCTTCTGAGTCCTTTCATGACTGGGATGGGGAGGGACTGTTCTGCGGTGGTTATGGTCCTACCTGGAGGGTATGTTTCAGACTGCTGCTCCGCCTTTGGCCTATGGGGATCCCTAAGGCTCCATCAGGTCCCCCATGTTTTCAACATCATATTAGAGCCACTGGGAGAGGTCATGTAGAGATTTGGGCTGGGCTGCCACCAATATGCAGATGACACTCAGCTCTATCTTGAGCTACCAGCAGATCCCACAGAGGCTGTAGAAACGGTAAACAGGTGCCTGGAGGCAGTTTTGGAATGGATGGGGGCTAATAAAATGAAACTTAATCCCAACAAAACAGAGCTACTTCTGGTGGGGGGAAAGTTTGACCTGGGAAATGGGTTATCCCCTGTTCTGGATGGGGTTGCACTCCCCTTAAAGGAGCAGGTTTGTTATTTGGTGTTCCTGGATCCAGGCCTCCTTTTGGATAAACAGGTGGCAGCAGTGGCCCGGGGTGCCTTTCAGCAGCTTCAGCTGGTAAGCCAGCTGCAACTGTTCTGGACAGAAAAGATCTTGCCACTGTGGTACATGCCCTGGTACCATCTAGACTAGATTACTGCAATGCACGGTACATGAGGCTGCTCTTGAAGAGTATCCAGAAGCTGCAACTGGTACAGAATGCTGTGATCAGCGTTGACTGGAGTGGGTCATATCACTTCTGTCTTGTTCCATCTACACTGGCTTCCAATTTGTTTCCAGGCTCAATTCAAGGTGTTGGTATTGACATTTAAAGCCCTGTACAGCCTTAGGGATCACCTTCTCCATACAAACCTACCTTTTCACTCTGGTCATCCTCAGAGGCTCTGCTTCAGTTTTTCCTGCCAGGGCCTTCTCCATCATGGCACCAAAGGTTTGGTACTCCCTCTCCAATTCAAGTAGTCACTCGCCCTCCATTGGTGTCTTTTGCCAGCAGGTGAAGACATTTTTTGTTTTCTCTGGCCTATACCCAATAATAGTTATTGGCCCTTCTTCAAGTGCTGTTTGTTTATATGTTTTTAATTTTATTTTATATTTTAGCTGTATTTTAATTGTTTAAATGTTTTTATATTCACCACCTTGTAGGCCCTAATTAGGTGGGGAGGCGGCATAAAAACGTTTTAAATAAACAAACAAATGAAGGATGGAACAATTCCAAGTAGTAAAAGAATTCCACCTAGGGCAAACAGAATCAGATTCAGAACATAGAAATCATGTGATCACACTGAGTAGCAGTCTGGCATTGTCATACTTAAAGATCCACACCAGTGAAACCCAACATGTGCCATATGGGGATGCCAAACTCCAGGCTGGACTCAATGAAATTACATCCCCACTGAACTGCCTCCCTAGAAACAGACCCAAATCTACCAGAATGCCCAAACTGGAGCTGGCAATCCTTGTGCCATGGGGACTGCTGATGTATTTCCTGGTTTTCACTCCCGTCTCCTGCAAAGCATCTCTTTACTCACAACAAAGAGCCAATCCAGGCTTTCCTGCATCTCACTGGAAAGGGAGTGCTTCAGAAAACCATTAGACTAGAGAAAACACCTTTGTGTCTGCAGGATCGGGCTGCCAACCTCCAGGTGGCACCAGAAGATCTCCCGCTATTACAACTGATCTCCAAAAGATCAAGATCAGTTCCCCTGGAGAAAATGGCTGCTTTGGCAGGTGGACTCTATGCCATTATACCCTGCTGAGGTCTCTCCACTCCCCAAACCCTACCCAGGCTTCACCCCCCAAAAAAAATAATCTCCAGGTATTTCCCAACCCAGAGCTGGCAACCGTACTGCAGGTAGCACCTATTCGGAAACCACTTGAATAATAATTTGGGGCTACCTGCCATCACAGGAGAATGTTTGGGTTGGAACCTCCCTACATTCAGCAATTTGTCCTAAGGCAGCCATTTTGTGGTGTTTACAGAAATCTTAAAGTGGTCACAGGCTGAGCAAAGTTGAGAACACATGAGCTATAACTGATAAGTGCATGAAAACACATACAAATAAGGCTGCCAAACTCCAGGTGGGGCCTGGAGACCAAGCCCTATGAGGAAAGGCTGAGGGACTTGGGAATGTTTAGTCTGGAGAAGAGGAGGTTGAGGGGGGACATGATTGATTGCTCTCTTTAAGTATTTGAAGGGCTGTCAGAGGAGGGCAGGGAGCTGTTCCTGTTGGCAGCAGAGGATAGGATTCACAATAATGGGTTTAAACTAAGGGCGGGAAGATACCAGCTGGATCTTAGGAAAAACGTTTTTACACTAAGAGTTGGTCAACAGTGGAATCAGCTGCCTAGGGAGGTGGTGAGCTCCCCCTCACTGGCAGTCTTTAAGCAGCAGTTGGACAAACACTTGTCAGGGATGCTCTAGGTTGATCCTGCATTGAGCAGGGGGTTGAACTAGATGGCCTGTATGGCCCCTTCCAACTCTGATTCTATGAGATCTCCAAGAGTTACAACTGATCTCCAGTCTACAGAGATCAATGCCCCTAGAGAAAATGGCTGCTTTGGAGTGGGGACTCTATGACATTATAAGTTGCTGAAATCCCTCCTCTCCCCAAAACCTGTCCTCCCCCAAATCTTCAGGAGTTGTAACATTGAGTTGGCAACCCCACATACAAATATTCTGTAATTACTATTATTATCACATACGTCTGCTGTCCAGGCAAACGTCGTATTATGATATTTCACATTCAAGGAATAATTTATGGATAAAAGGTAAATGTTGACATTTTTCCAGATTTAATTTTTGCTACTTGTCTGATGGTATATAAGATCCATATATGATACTCCACTACTGTAAGCTGAGCGTCAATGCAGAGAAAGGCATAATATACATCCCATTTGTATTTGTCAGAAAACACACAGAAAAAAGTTTCGAAGATGTTTTTATTTAAATAAAATCATCCGTTATTAGCCCATTAATTTATCATACTGTTCCTCTAATTCATCTTTAAGATTGGGCTTTAACTGTCTAGGGACTGGACTGCATGCAAATAAACCGTGTGAGATTGTGACTTATTTTAATAAAGATGGTATTATTGGAGCAAATGTGCTTCAATGACGATTTGAAGATGCTGTTGGGTTTCCCTTTTTTTTGTATTCATAGCTATGTATCTATTTCAGTCTCCTGTTTTCATATGTATATGCTCGTAAGTTCAAATGTGTGCATGTGTTACAGAATGCCCTCTTCCAGCTGAATGATACCAAACCACCCTCTCCCCACCAAAAAAAGCCAAGCCATAAAAACTGTGGTACACAGCACCTCCCAGTGGTGTTGCTTGTGAAAAGGCAGCATACTGGACAAAAAAAACCACACTGCAAACCTAGCCTGGTGTTGCTATTTCCTGATGCATTCTCAGTAGTCTAGATGTATGCAGGATCAACTGCACACAAGGGCATACAATCATGCTGACAAGATGAACATGCATACAGCAAATGTGCGGGCAAAAAAGAGAACCAACATGGAGGCATATTTGAACAGACACATATGACACATACAGCTACCCATAATTGTACTCTGAGAAAATGTCACATCTGGTTAGACCCTAATGTGCAATGCCATTGTGGGCTTGTGTCATGCCAGCTGCTGATGGGATCTATGGTAAGGCAGTTTTAAATCTGCTATTATTATCTTTATTACTATATTACTGTGTTCTTATGAACTTCTGGAATTAGTATAATCGCAAAATGGAATCTCTGTGCAACAGTTGCCCCAGTTGCCTAAACACCCACATTCTACACTGTACTCAAAATCTCTATTGTGGCATTGATCTAGGATTAAAATAGCCTTTCCCAAGCTACACAAATTGGTATTTGGGCAAGTGGGTGCAAGATCCTTGTAGCTGAAGCACAATAAAGAGGGTAAGTTATCTGGAACTTGGATAACTATTGCACAACTATTGCATTAAAAACACACCAGAAAGAGGCACAGAATCCATTGTGGAGATGTGCTGTGCTGGGGGTTTCGACCCCTCTGCTTTTTTACGGCTATCGGGGACATTTTATGGAGGAAGAAGGGAAAGAAGAGGTCATAACAGAGCAGATGAGATGACCTACAGTTTCAGACCTCTTGTCGCCTTCAAGGGCCTATCTACACATTATGTTGAGGTTCCATGACCAGAGTTTAGCCTTAAGAAGCAGCTGTGGTGATGGTGGCCTCAAAAGAGGAGGGGGCAATTTAGTTTTTTCACTGATACCATTTCCTCTTATTGAAACTGGAGCCTGAAGGTTGTGTTTAACCACAGTAGGCAAAGTGACAGTGGGCCTGTCTCCCCCCCCCCAAAAAAAAATTAAGGTGAAAATATATCAAGGAGTGGTCATTTCAATGGGGAAAACTACACAGGATTAACGTTCTCCTTCCCCAGTGCTGTGGCCCCAATTAATATTTTACTCACCTGCAGTTGTTTTTAAACACACACCGGAGGATCCAGTCACAAACGTTCAACATAACATGCAGTTTGTCCCTATGCCACAGTATTTAGCAAATAGGAGGAGCATGAATGAAGATCATGACATAATGGGGAGAATTTTAATTTCTTTCTGCCCTGCCATGTACAAATTCTAAATACCTATAGATGTATGTAATGTCTTCCCAATGCTATAACTGTAAACAAGTTCCCAAAATGTTCACCTCTTTTTAATATACAGGACGTGTTATAGTGCAAAGTTCCAAAACCGAACAGTGTCTCTTACTTTAGCACCAAAAGCTTCACATAACTATAAAACAGTGAAGCCATTATGCTTAGAAATACTATCTGGCCTGTGTCAGTGTAAATACAATACAGAGAAAGTGTGTGTGTGTGAGGGGGTGTGTCTTGCAGTTTGCCCAAGACAGGATGTCCCTTAGTAGACCCATTGTTTGTATTCTCTGGAGCACTGAGGCTACCCTTCATTAAATACTGGAGACTGCTGGACCTGCATAAATAGTTATCTGAGCTCTGCCTTTTCATCATAAATGGAGGGAGGACAGATGTTTGACTTCCCAACAACACTGTTGTCATGAGCTGTATCATAGAAATAATGATATTGTGGGGCTAGATTGAACTCGACTCCTTGGACGGGCTCTGTCCACTGTGGCCTCTCACACCAAGTACCAGTCCATTCAGGGTAGCAGTGGCACTGGAAGCGCTCCCATGCTGAAACTTCGTGGTCCACAAAGTCTGTCACAGTGGGTTCCCTTTCCCACTGCTGTGGACTGAGGTGAGGGAAAGCTCCCAGGTCATCCGGGTTCTGCCTCACACAACGTCCGTTCCCATGGCACAGCTGATGGCTGCATGTGCGGGCAGCTGTGGTCACATTGACTACATATGGCCCCAGCGTGGTCACAATGTAACGGTGAAGGCTCCTGCAGCTCTCCTAGAGGACAGAAAGCCAGAATTACAGGTTGGAATATTCTAGTGGCTGGTCCAACTGACTGGGAATGGCTGCTTCCACATGGAGGTTTTTCTCTACTTCAGCATCTAAACCAGGCCCATAGCTAGAAGGTTTTTCTGGGGGGGGGGGGGCTGGGGGGGGTGCTGGGGGGGCATTTGGGGGGTTGGGAGGCAGAGATGACTGCCAGAGGATGCGCAGTCCACCAGCCCAGCCGCTGTCAAGAGCACTTGGCTTCAAGCTCCTCGTTGGGGAGTTTGGGTGTGTGTGTGTTTGTGTGTGTGTGCAAGCACCCCAGGCCTTGCACCCCCAGTGGGTTTCACAGATTCCTGAGAACACAAGGCAGCCCTCTGCCCTCAATGCCCATCCTGGTAAGGGATATCAGGTTAGCGACCCATCCTCTTCTGTCAGCCCCACAGTAGGAGCTGGAATATCAGGGAACTGGGGAGAGGCAGGAAACCCCCGGCTCTCAGGAGTTCTCTGGCTGGCCATCTGCAGAATGGATGCCTGACGCTGCCATGGGAGGGAGGGAGGCAGGGAGGCAGAAGGGGAAAGGGCCCTTGACTCGCCCGGCGTCGCCTCCTCCCCACAGAAGCTACAGAGTGGCTCAGTTGTCGGCAAAAAACAGCCAGAAGTTTCGCAGGCCAGCCTCTGCATGCCAGCCGGGCAGCCCAGACTGGACAACTTCTGCGGGTGCTATGGCCAGGCAGGCCGCCCTGGGTCCCGCCCAGCTGCCACTTACGCCACTGCCTCCCACTGCCAATACCCTGCCCCCTGAGTTCCAGGGAAGATTGGGGGGTCGGGGTGGGGTCGACGGAGTAGCAGATTTGGGAGGGGGCATCGCCCCTCCCGCCCCTACCTACAGGCCTGGTCTAAACTACTTTTTTGTTTTGTTTTTTGGAGCATCAACACAACGCCACACTCTAACCATGCTCCAGTTGTCCTTTCCCTTCCCCTAGGACATTATTGCCCAAACCTGGTTTGCTACAACCTTTGGGGGGAAAGTTCACTCCAAGCACATTGTTGTATTGTCTTGATGGGATAACACTGCTAGCTGAGCACTGGCAACCGGCAGGAGCTATAGGGAGCAGGGTCACACAAAATAGGCATTACGGCCTTCCAGTGTGAACCAAAAAATGACATCAGCACATTGGTGTGACACTCTAGGATTCCACCTGTACTCTATAGTAAAGCGTATTCCTCAAACATATTTTCCCGCCCTACTATACTGAGTGGCAGTGAGCACCCAAGCTCACGGGTAGGAGGCCGGGGCCCACCCTACAATAGGAAAGGGCCCATTTTCAAGGGTTTTACCTGCATTGCTGCCATTTTCCTTCCATCAGCTCCCTGTGGCAGCTATTTTCTTTACCACTGCACCAAAAAAACTTTTTGTGGGCTTAAAAAACAAAGATTAATTGCCAAGGTGCCATAAAGCTATACCATGCCCTCTGGTGGTACAGTTGGGGAGATATGCAGGGGAAATGGTGGCTGATAGAGGAAGTGCACACAAAACTCCTGTGTGAAAGGTCTGTTGCCAATGTGAATGCCTCTGCATTCACAGCAGCAGTGAATGCAAAATCAAGAATCCTTGCCATGTGGACTAAGCCAATGAGTGGTTCTAGCAATAGCCATTATACAGAAGCAACCCACAGGGCCAGCAAACTCACATGTTATTTAGGGACTAAGTGCTGGAAGTGAAAGACTGTGCAACATGTCTGCAACCAAGCACATAAGTACTCAAGAGGGGGCAGTAGAGGTAATATGGTGGACAGGTCAATTCCTTTGCATCCTTTCTCTTGTCTGTTTACTGCTGTATCTTTATTAACCCCAAATCCTAGTCTAAAGGACTTCCTTCCAGCTGCTTCTCTTCCTGTTTTTGTGTATTCTCTCTCTCTCTCTCTCTCTCTCTCTCTCTCTCTCTCTCTCTCTCTGTATGTCTGATCTCCATGACAGCAATGTGTGCTCTCTGAATCCCTCTCCATCCTGGCTTAGACAGATAGCTAGAATGCCTGTAATGCCTTTCCTTTCACAGCATGGTATTTCTTTAACAATCAGCAACATCCATTTCTTTTCTAAAGGAACAAGCCTTGTGTGGACCTTATTCCAAAAGCACCCCTCCCCTTCTGCTAAAGCGAAGAACATTTTGGGGCAGTAGAGTATTCTGCCATCAAACTAAAATGTGGGGCGGTGGGGGAGAATATGCTTCCAAACAGCAACCGGGACCACTCATGTTGTGACAAAAGGTGGACCTGTTTTCTGCCTGAGTTTGTGTCTTAGGGAACATAAGAAACCTCTTAGGGATACTCACAGGTGAATGGGAATAGGAGAGGTCACCCCAGAGTGCAACCCCAGCAGCTCCAAGTGCTGCACTCTCTCCAATGGTGTATACCAGGTCAGTCTGAGTGAGAAAAGAAACATCTTCAGGATTGGGACACACTATATGCATTCAAAACACATGTTGTTACTGCTTGGGCAATATTAACAGTGCATTAGCCTGACTTCCTGCTTGGTTACAGGCAATACATTTTTTATGACCGTGATACAGCCATTGTTGCACATTCCATTCTGCTACCTCACCACGTCCTCTGACAGAGCATGTTTTGCAGGGCTTTGTAATGCTTCAAAAATCTGCCAGACTTGTCCGAATGTTTCTTCTTTATCACTACCCTGCTGGACTGGCCTTCTCCAGCTGCTCTGACGCAGGACTCGCTAGCTGTCAACGCTCTGATGATCCCCACTAATTAGTTAAATGAGTTATTCTCTCTCTCACATTCATATAGGGTTGCCAAGTTCATCTTCCACCCCCAGCGGGGGACTTTGGGGGCGTTCCTGGAGGGGGTGGGGCATCCCCAACGTGATGACGTCACGTTGGGGACGTCTGCCGCCCCCACCCCCACGCCGGATCTCCAGAAACGGCAGTTCTCTGCATTTAAAGTAGCCGGCAGCCAGCATTTCCCCTTTAAGAGCAGCTGCGTTTCCCTTTTAAGAACGAAGCTGGCATTTCCCTGCAGCTTGCGGGAGTTCGTGCTTGGGATGAAACACGGGTTGCACACACTTAAAGGGAGAGAGATGGGTGGCTGTGGGTGTTGGGGGTGGGGCTTCCCGCTGGCCAAAAAAAAAAAGACAGCATGTAGTATGAAACAGCCCTAATAGCCTAGACCAGTGGTGGCGAACCTACACGGTTGCCAGAGGTGGCACTCAGAGCCCCCTGGCAAACCGGGGGGGGTTGGCAACCCTACATTCATACAGTGTGTAAATGGACCTGGGGTGGATTAAGGAGGATAGCACTTCTGTACCATATAGAGTAGAAAATTAATATGACGAATATGGAGTATTCCCTTGGCCAGCTATGGAAAAGCAAAGATCCATCATCGTCTTTCCATAGCCAGCTATGGGAACTCTTTGTGATGGTGGTCCTCCAGATTGCATGTGCCCTGACCTCAATAGCCAAGGCTAGCCTGATCTCATCAGATCTCAGAAGCTAAGCAGGGTCGGCCCTGGTTAATAGTTGGATGGGAGCCCACCAAGGAATACCAGGCTTGTCACGCAGAGGCAGGCAATGGCAAAGCACCTCTGAATGTTTCTTGATTTGAAAACCCCACTAGGTGTCCCCATAAGTCAGCTGTGACTTGGGGGCCAAAAAAAAAAAAAGCATGTAGCATGAAACAGCCCTAATAGCCTAGACTATCTTGATGCTGTCAGACTTTGGAAGTCAAGCAGGATTGGTACATGGATGGGAGACCACTGAGGGAGGGAGGGGGCTTTATGCAGAGGAAGGCAATGGTAAACCACCTCTGCTCATCTGTTGCCTTGTAAAACACATGAGGGGGGATTTCATGGGGTCCCCGTGAGTCAGTTCCAGTTTGACAGCACACTTTACCTTTAGACTGCATGTGCTTGGTCTGGACATTTGCACAACCAAAATCACAGAATACTATTATCTACCACGGACTCTTAATGATATATGCAGAATGCCAGCAGATTCTATTTTGCCTTTTTTTTCATTTCCAGGGTTAATAACAGCATGGGGGAGGCAGTTTCAGTCAGCACAATGGCACAGGGAGGAAAGTTTAAACCTCTTCTTCTCCATACACTGCAATACCAGTCTGAACTGGGTTCCTCTGCAGCCGTTATTTTGTTTTTTTAATGCCGGGAAGATCCAGTCATAGATCTCCCAGTGCCAGGTTTAATTTGGTCCTAAGAATATCAGCTTTCCTTTTAAATCAGAAAACACATTTTTAGTCTTCATTGGCTGGAAACAAAGGGTATAGAAACACCATCAGTGTGTGATAAAGTCTTGAACTGGGGGGGGTTCAACAGGGGGGGGGGAGTTATGTCTAATTCCCTTTCCTTTCTTTGCCATGGCTACCAGACCAGTTCTTTACCCTTCTTCCATCTAATGCTTTAAAATCATCTGAACAATTTTTTTAAAAAATATCTTTCATGATTTTGAACTGGGAATTGGGAAAATACAATTATACCAATTTACCTAAACGAATATTTCATTCTGACAGCAGAAGTAGGATTTAGGGGCTGAGGGATTTAGAGGATTTTAGGCCTATGACCATAGGAACACTATGGGGAAGACTAAGGGCCAAACTCAATGTGACATGATTTTACATGAGTTCCTAATGGGGAGTGGCAGCCATATTGCAGCTATGAGTCCCTGGTGGCAACTTCATTTGAAAGTACCAGGGGAGTAGGTTTGCCAAGCTCCAGGTGGGACCTGGAGATCTCCCAGAATTATAACTGATCTCCAGACTCCAGAGATCAATTCTCCTGGAGAAAAAAATGGCTGCTTTGGAGGGTGGACTCTATGGGATTATACCCCACTGAGTTACCTCCAAGAGGTATCTCCAAGAATTCCCCAACCCAGAGCTGGCAATCATATGGGCCTGATTTGCACCAAGACTTCAGCAGAGGGGGAAGAGGGGCTCCTGCTCCCCCCTACACACACACTGTTTTCAAGACATTATTTGCCCTGTTGGGGACTCACATGCCCTCAATCCTTACATGTGTAGCCTCCTGACAGGGCAAAAATTGCCCCCACAGCCCATGGGCCATTTCAGCTCCAGACCAGAAAACAGCACGGGGGGGGGGGGCAGGCATCAATCCAAATTGGGTCCCCTGTAGCACTTTTACATGGATGTAAGTCTTCACCTCCTGCAGTTCATAGTCCAGAATGGGCACATCCTCCAGCATCCTCCCTTCTTTAGCACACCCCACACATCTCTCAGCAAAGGGGAGGAGGGGGCTTACAACACCCTCAGCCAGCTCTCTCCCCAGCCCTCAGTCCACCCTCTGATTTCTTAGATTTGGCCAGGCCTGTCCTCCTCAACGGCCTTGAGGTAGTGCCTAATAAAGGTCTGCCTGGAGATGTGATCGCCTAGGGGCTCTGCCAGTGCCCTCCAATTAGGGGTGGGGCCTGGCTCATTCCCAGTTTCTCAGCCAATGGGCCTCCCTTGGCGCATCCCTCCTTTATTGGCTCTGCCTGGCCTAAGGCTTCAAAACAACCTCCTGCTGGCTGCCACTGCTGCCCAGAAGTCACCATCCCCTTCCTCAGCCTGTTTCCAGCCCCCTCCAGGGGCTCTTTCCCCTGGCCACTTCCAGCCCCCTTGGTCTGTGGATGGCTGCTTCATTTGTCCCGCTGTCCTTGGGTGTGCTGGCAATGGTGAGGCCTCCTCTCTGCTCCCCCCAGGCTGCTCTTGGCAGGTGATTCTTGCCTTCCCTGGCTACTTTAACTGCTGCTGCGGCCCTCCAGTCCTGTTCTGCCAGGCCATATGCACGTGGGGAAGACTTTTTCCTGCTCCACCAATGTTGCTGCCTGGCTTGGTCCTGGCTTGGGTTGCCAGGTCCCCGCTGGCCACCAGCAGGGGATAGGGGGTAGGGTCGCCACATCCAGACTGGCAAAATCCTGGAGATTTGGGGATGGAGCCTGTGGAGGACAGGGACCTCAGTGGTGTTCACTGCCATAGAGTCCACTCTCCGGAGAATCCATTTTCTCCAAGGGGACTGTAGTCTGGAGATGAGCTGTAATTCCAGGAGATCCCCAGGTCCCACTGGGAGGCTGACATCCCTAGTCCTGGCACTGATAGTGGGGGTGGCTCCTCTGCCCTTGATGTTGCTGTGGCCTCTTGGCCTGCCCCAGGAGCTGCAGGTAAGTGCACAGAGGACTTTGCCAGCCCCAGATAATGGAGCTGCCACCAGGGACTCACAGTTGCAATATGGCTGCCAAGTAGGGTTGCCAGCCTCCAGGTGGGGCCTGGCGATCTCCCGCTTTCACAACTGGTCTCCAGCTGACAGAGATCAGCTCCCCTGGAGAAAATGGATGCTTTGAAGGGGCGACTCTAGGGCACTGGACCAGGCTGAGGCCCCTCCCCTCCCCAAACCCCGCCCTCTCCCGGCTCCACCCCCAAAGTCTCCAGGTATTTTCCAAACCAGATTTGGCAACCCTACTGCCAAGTCACCATTGGGAGGTTGTGTGAAACACAACATGTGGTTTGGCTAGGGATCCCAAGTCCCCCTGGGGGGCGGGGAAACCCCCGCCCCAGAGGCCCGTTCCCCAGTGGTGCCAGATCGGGCCCCGGGGGGAACTCCACCCCAACATGCGCATCACCCGGAAGTGACGCGACCACGCTGGACACACTGGGGGTGGGGCCACGGCCATCCAAGGTAAAACTCTATGGTTTTCCCTTGTATGGCCGTGCCCCGCCCCCAGTGTGCCTGGTGTCCTCCTGTCACTTCCGGGTGATGTGTGTGTGCTGTGCGCTTTGCACACACGCGCACCAGACACCAGCCGGGAGCCCCCCGCTCCCGGCGAAGATCAACTTGGCAACCCTAGGTTTGGCCCTAAATTCCATTTGACTCAGTGGGTCATTTCTGAGAAATCACAGTGCCATCCTAAGCAGAGTAACACCCTTCAAAGCTCATTGACTTCAACAGACTTAGAAGGCTGTAATTCTGTTTAAGTTTGTGCTGCACATGTAGAATTGGCTTGTTAGAGCAGAAACCTAGACCTTTTGTGCACAGATTCACATAATGGTGTCGTTCCTTGTTTCTATGCAATATTTTTATCACAGTACACTACCAAATGCAATGAAGTGAACAAAGTGTTGGATCTGATACCTTTTAACCATTGCTTTTCTTTAGCCTAACCATCTGAGAGGATAAACTGGGGGGGGGGGCTGTATGTCAGCCTAAACTACTACTTTTGAGAAAGGGCAGGATAACAATATAACACACAAATCATCTACCAGTGGAAGGTAAGCTTACCAAAGAAGCAAGCTTCCATCCAGATAACAGTGTTAGCTTGCATTCACCTACATGGAAGAATCTCTACTTGCTGCATGCACTCTCAGCGTCTCTCAGTTCTTACCTCAGCAAGGTACCTTGGGGAGTGTCTGTAGGAGACCCTGGAATACGCAATCACAGGTATGGGTGGCTTCAAGCCGGACTTTGCCACACGGAATGCCTCTCTTAGGCGGTAGTGAACATAGCGCTGGTGTTTAGATAATGGGAGCTTTGGGGGGAGATAGATGCTGGGAAAGAGGGCTGAGGAAACTTCCCAAAGCCACTGGAGTCGATCGTTCCACTGAACCTCCTTGGGGTGACAATGGCCAGAGTAGTTCTTTTCTTTCTCCCAGTTGTCATTGAAGCAATCGGGGAATCGGTAGAAGCCCCAGAGTCCCTGTGGCCTCAGCTCCTTCCCCACAGCCAGCATTCTATCCATGAACACTTTAGCAGCCTGTTCAAACTCTTCCTCTGCCAAGTAGGATCGTTCCTTAGCAGGCAGATCTGGGAATCTTTCCTGCACCCACTGTTCAGAGGCCTCCCTGTATATGATCTTGGGCCCCCAGTTCCGTCTCCAGAGAGGCCGCCACTCCTCCCAGTCAACCACAGCCAGGCCTTGGAAATCAGGGTACAAAAGTTCTGCAATTTCTTTTGAGAACCTCTCTAGGTGTTCCTTCAGATCTGCTTTCTGAGGTATTCCACCATTATGCCATTCACCCTCAGATGAGATGTAGGGATAGAGTCCAAACTTATTTTTGTAAAAGATAGTCATGTTCTGGCCATAAAATGCATTGCCTTTGTTCTCAACAATACCATAATCTCCAAGAGGTAGCGCAATCCCAAAATGTTCTTCACATCTTGCTGTAGGCAAGTTCCATACCACAACAAATGGCTCATTTTGGAAAATGGGACCAGCAGTTGCCTGGTCCAAGCTATGTCCTTTCAAGTGCTGTGAGGCTCCAAGGCAGAAGATGATGGAAATCCAGGTTGCTCTTTTCAGGATCATGGTGGATGTAATAATCCAGTATATCTTTTAGGGCCTTTCCTGTTTTATGAATACATGTCCTAACAGGGAGAAAGGAAGGAGAGACTAAGAGTTGCTCCTCAATTTATCTCCCCCCATTAACTAGATGACACACTCATCACACACATGCTCATCCCACAGTTCCAGAGTAGTTTCCAAGCTGCATTTTAACCTTGGGGGATCTTGGCATACTATGTATTTAAAACACCGCTGCTTACCCTAGCACAGTGATCCCCAGCTGTGGCACTTGTGGGAACTATGGTCCCCACCAGTGGGTTTCCTGGCACCCATTTGCTTCTTCAGCAAAGGCTTCTCTTTCCCAAAGCAAAGAGTCAGTCCAGATTTTCCCCACCTCTATGGAGCAAGAAGTGCTTCAGAAGAACTAAGGCAGCATCATCCTTGTGTTTGCAGATACCACCCATTCAGAAACATTCTCCATCACAGGAGAATGCTTGGCTTGCAGATTCCAAACATCTTGTGATTGGCCCCAGCACCCCATGGCAGCCATTTTGTGAGTGCTTCCGTAGCAGCCATTTTGTGGTGGTGCCCATTCCCATCCTCAAAATTCCAAAAGTGCCCAGAGGACTAAAAAAACATTAGGGACCGCTGCCGTAACTACATCAATCCTGTTATTCTGGGTTAAATGCTTCGGGGAAAGAGGCTTTAAGGGTGGATTAAATTTGTGAAGGCAAAAACGAAGCACCAAGAAGACTGCAGTTGTGTAGCAGAGTGTTGGTTGGTGTGTTAAAATTACCCAAAGTCATCTTATTTGTGAGCAGAGAAGCTGTTTGAATTATACAGGAATACTAGGAAGGATGGCTCTAAACAACCAAGTATTTTTCCACAATGGAGAGGCACAAATGCCCAGTCTGTGCTGCTTCCACTGTTGGTTTGGACTTGTTTGCTCTGTGTCAATCCCCCCTTTGCTTCATTTTCCACTCCAGTCTGAAAGAACACCAAGCCTTAAAAACGGCAGGCTAGGATCCGTCTCCTGTTTAACTGTTTGTTTCCAATTGGCTCTGTATTGGGCTTTTGAATGTTCCTCAAGTGTTCTTTGGGAAGAAATTAAGAAAACCATTTTATTAGAAGGCCATCTCCTCTGATTCAGCCTATCCAACTGATGGGTTGGTTGAGTTCATGATTAGAACCTGGCTGTTTGTCTTACAGTTCCAGTTATCATCACACATACAATCCCTTGCAATGAAAGGGCTGTCAGGATTCATGTCCAAGCTTTCTTACAGATTGGGCAGTTCACAGATGGGCAGGGATTTGCCATCACGTAGGGACCCTTAACGCTAGCTCTAAATCAGCACACTGTTTTCCTTTAGGATAGAATATTGCAGCCATCACCTGCCTGTATTACAATATTTCCTATTTGTAGTGATATATCCTGTCTCCTAACATAAACAGAAGTCTTATGGCACCTTCAAAGTTAACAATACTTTATTTCAGAACAAATTTTTATGGACTACAGCCCGTTTTTTGAGGTGCAATGAATGGATTCTCACTGTGCAGACATTTTATGCAAGAAAATACAAACAAACAAACCTCGATCCAGTTATTTGTTTTGCTTTCATACCTCCTACATAAAACAACTGCACAGTGAGGTTCCATTTACTGCATCCACAAAAGTTTATGCTGGAATAAAATGTTGTTAGTTTTTAAGGTGCCACAAGACCTTTATTTTTGCTGTAAAAGACTAAAATGGCTCACCTTCTGGAATCCTTCCTCCTAGCCTGTCTCTCTTACCATATTACAGTTCACATCTTTTACTGCTACTGTAATGTTTTCACATAGTGACAATCCTCTTTGTATTTCCTGTGGGGTACAGACATCTCAAAAGGTTAACTGAGAATATTCTGGTAAGCTCTAGGTGCTAAAGCAAAGGACTTTGCAAAGCTACCTGCAAACTGAAATGCCCTAGACACAGGCTGTTATTTGGGGCAAACTGGTAGAAATGGCCCCAATTTTTCCATGCTTTTTTTTAATATATATAAGTACCCAAAGGTACACTTTTATTAATTTTTCTTTTATAATCTACAACAAACACTACAAACAGACACTCTACTACACATAACATATATACCAAGAGTACAGTTACATTATATGCTTATATCCAATTACTTAATTAATAAAAACGCTCTATCAAACACTTTCCATTCTTCTGTCTTCTGTGTTCTCGTCCTTTGTGCTATAATTGCCTAATCTTCTATTATATTTACATTATACCAATCATAAAACTTTTTCCATGTTTTTTTTTTTTTAGGGCTTCCGGTCTGGCTCCCGCGAATGGCGGACGCATCCTCGGGTTGCTCCCGAGGGCGCCTCGCCCGCCCGCGGTGGAGAAGGGAATCCGCGTGAAC